TTTTGAATAAACAAGAACAACAAATGACAAGAACGCCCAAATGCTCTACCGAACTCCCGCTATTGCAATATGCATCATTACAGCATCATACTCCTTCGCCTAGATGAGGCTCGCTCCCTAGCTCCAACGCCATCCTCGGTGTGAACTGCTGAGGAGACACGCCGCGATGGCCGACGGGTAGTGACCTTCTTCTTAATGTCGGCAGAAGCTTCTTCGTCATTTTGTGGTGATGAGGGTGTGAATTCATAAACATCAACTTCACTGACACCAGTAGTGTCAGAAGCCGTCTCCTCCTTGACTTCTCCATCTTCGTGTGAGGTTTCGCTGCCGGCAACAATGTCTTGAATCATCATAGAGGTACGTCTTCCGCCACGCATGGTTATAGGCTTAAGGACCTCTGGAGATGATCCTTTACCCGCCAGGGGGCTAGCGGGAATGCTGCCAGGCTCGTTCTCAGTGTTGGTGGCGTTGGCATTTAGCAGATTCTTCCATGACTCTTCAGCACTGCTCTCACGCTTCGTCCGGGTTGTATCTGGGGCTTGCTCAGCTACACTAGACCTCCGAACATATTTGCCTTCTCCAGCAACAGCATCAAGCATCTCCTTGGTGGGTCGCCGCATCTTGTCTCTGAGGTTAGGCTCTGCATAGCTGACTGCGGTCCTATTTCGTCGGCTGGGCCTCGCTGGTTCTCTGCTCGCATTCACGTCGCCAGGTGGAGGTGTTCCTCCTCGTCCAGGTTCCTGGGATGCTGCAGTATCTGGCGAGTTCGGGGAGAGAAGCGCTGGGTCTGTGAAAGGTGTTGTGAGTCCGCATGTGACCTCCACAACTTCAGGGGCTGCAGGAGGCTCGAGTGCAGTTTCGATGGTGATGGGAGCCAAGGTCTTGGATCTGGACTTAGGCCGCTCTTGGGAAGCCTTTGATCTCATGAGATCCGCTTTGGCTGCAGCGACTTGATCAGTCACAACTGGCTTGGAAATCTTCTTTGGTGACGTCAAATCATCGTTAGTGCTCTTGGCTGCAAGGGGTTTCCTCGTGCCTGTCGCACTCGCCTTTTCACGAGCGTCCTTTCTCATATTGCTAAGTTCTTTCAATGTTCGGCCTCCAGCCTTCTCACGGATTGAGGGCTTGTCAATAGTGTTTCGTGGAGGCTCATTTTCGTTGTTCACCCTCTGAGATCTGCTCGTAACCATATCATCTCGAGCGGCGAGCTTTCGCTTTGATCCAACCTTGACTGGCTGGGGTTGAGATACTGGGGTTTCGTCAACAATTTCCCGTACATTGTTCTCGATTGATCTCGTTGCTAAGGGCTTAGTCTTGATTGGCTCCGTTTCCTTAGGTTTAGTGGCATTCGCTTGTTGCTTCTTTTCGGGTGAAGGTGATCTCGGTAAGGTCTTGGTGGTCTGAGGTGATGTGAGCTTTTCGGGTGGTGCGATTTTCCTTGTGGGACTTTCTTGTATGGGCGCTTGTGTAGGTGTAGGTGTCGGTGAAGGGCGAGAGCGTGTGGGTGAGTCAACCTTGACAGGCTCCTCTTCCTCCTCGATGAAATGGGAGACGGGAGGAGGTCCAATTTCTGGTGACTGAGATGTGTCGGCCATGTCATCGTTGTCGGCCTCTGACCGAAGTGCTAGGATTTGTTCTTGGCTGTATCTTGTTAGAGAACTTGTTGTTTATATTGATCGAATGACTCACTTCATGGACTGTCTCGGGTAGGACTTGGTTTCTGAAATATGTCCCAGTTCCTCAATTTCACGGGCCATATCTCTAAGGCGTCGCTGTGAAGGACTAGGCCGAGCTGAGCTGAAGCTCACCCTAGGCTTTGTTGACTTTCTCGGTCGTGGAGAGTGTCGCTTCATAGGCGGCTCAAGACCAAGACCAGCAAGAAGGGTACCCCATTCAGTGAGCTGGGACTCAAGCTTTGCCTTGATAGCAAGTGCATGATCAGCAATCCGTCGAGTGTCGTTATCTTCGAGCTCTTTCTCTAGCTCTATGATACGACCTCTGAGCTCCAGGTTCTCTGATAGCATACAGGCGCAGTCATTCTCGAGTTCTCGGATACGGAGGGCACGTATGTTGTTTGATTTTGCAAGATCGCGGTTCTGGCGTAAGAGTTTCTTTCGAACTAGATCACAAGACATGGTCAGCCCCCGTCATGTTGCTCATAGGAGTTCGAGATATTGGAACATACGCGTTTCGAGACTGTCCGTAGACACGGGGGGTTCGTTCAGTCTAGCCATAGCTCATAATGCGATGGATCGTGACAATGCGAGAAGAGGCTTCCTGTGGAGTTAGTAGGAGACGTTGCTGATATGCTCTCGCACAAGTCACAGAGTGTTGTTGGGTGTCGGTCTGAAAAAGGGAATTTTTGGTTGCATCTATTTACTGTCGTAACTGTTTTTGTCATAGCGCTTGGTTACTGGTTGCCCCAGTGACGAAACTCCCCACGTTGAACCCCACCGTCGTTGGACGGAAACGCAGTGTTCGAGTTTACTGCTAAAGACGTCGCGAATTAATCCAAGTTTGGTGACACGCCATAAATACGACCATGTCATATCCAACGCGACCGATTTCCTCGCATATGCGCGCCCCGAGCGCGTCTGCATCCTCAAGTGGACAGTCACCAGCATTGTTAGCGCGAATCGAGGAGAAAAAGGCCGAACTCGAAAACCTCAAAGAGCTTCGAGAGCTCAGCGCAGCGGTCGCAACACAAATGGAAGCTTTGGAACAGAAACTCTCGACTCTGTCCGATGGAACAGAAGGTAAAGCTCCTATGTGAAGTTGTTCAGTGCTTAGACTGACTCTCAGTAGCAATTGCAGCCGTTGTTGGAAACTGGCATAATGTGCTACGTGCCATCAATATGGCTTCTTGTATGTCCTCAAAAGGTTATGACTGTTGATCTTGTCTGACTTTCCGATAGCTAAATTAGCCAAGACGGCAGCCCATCCTACAAACGCATCGGAAGATTCAACAGGGCCCCTACCTCAAACTCTAGTACGAATTCCAACAGAGCATGCACCAGCTCTGCAAGCCCAGGCAGAAGCTGCAGAAGCCGCAGCCGAGGAAGAAGAGTCATGAACAGTCTCGATCATGGTCCAAAATCACGAAAGCCGACATATTTCCCGGCAGTCTGTAGAGTGCCTTGTGCTTCATGGGCGCCTCCATGGCGATATACTAGGCAACATCTATCTGACAGACACCGCATATTCCTTGCCATCTCCACGAGGTTGATTCTAGATACTAGCATCCTTGAGCCAGGCAGCAGCAATCACTTGCAGTTCCCAACTATCTCAGCACAGTATACTGCGATCACAACCCAATGATAAGACGAAGCCTCGACTGCCTCCTAGTGCCTATGAAACGGCTGAATTCATGTCTAGGAGAGGGCTCCCGGGTGAATGAGTGTTCAGCACGAAGATTGGCACCCCAGAAATCAGGCTTGTTTTCAGACTACACCTAGATCTTCCATCTTTGGTGATAAGTTTCCATGCCAAAGACACCAGGATGCTGGGGGAACCTGGGGTAGTCCATGAAGAGGGGGAAAGTATTCACCTGTCAACGTTGGTTCACAGATCCCATGTCAGCTGAAAAGAGACAACAGAAGTTGTTTCGATCCGAGGAAGATCTGGTGGAGTTATCACAGGTTGAACGAGGAATTGGAGTGTGTTTCGTTATGAATCCTCCACCAGGTCTTTAGAGGCTTAGTAATTAGTCGATAGAGTTCTTGTTGGTATGGGGCGACGATATATGTGGCTATATGCTTTATGTCGTCTTCCATGGCTAATTCCTCAAACTTCCTCTGGACTTTCTGGTCGAAATCAAAGGAACAATTACGTATCCATTGCGAGTTTACTCGCCTCAAGTAAAACTTTCACAACAACCATCATGTCCATGATAGTATAACTGTGGATATTTCTTGTGATTGTGATTTGGAACTGCATATGCAGCAGAAGTGGATCTCATTAACTCGATCCCAGGCACCGAGATAAAGGCCCAAGAATCAAGAGAATAATGGGCCAGAACGCGGGAGGCTTGGTATGAACTCCAAGATTCCAATCCAAAGACTTGATAAAGTTTAGATGTTGACTCTCCTAATCAGCGGGTTTGCCTATATTTAACTGTTCAATAGGCTAGACGCAGTACCGAGATGATGATTCTATTTAGACACATCTGGAGCTGAAGTGATTATTATAACCCACCTGGAACTTATGTACGTATGAGCTGCACAGTGGGACTCCCGCTCTGGGGCAGTCATCTTATAAGTCGACCAATGAGAGCGACTTTGAGTTCGTGGAGACAAAAGCCGTTGAGATTGTGAAATGATGGACATGACTCGACAATTGATTTATGAAGGTTATGGATAGAGTTCAGATGGCGTTTGGCGGTTGGATTTACAAGAGTCAAGAGATTCAAGGTATTTGATATCTTAATAAAGTTAATAAATAGAAGGCACAGCCTGTAACTGCACAAGACTGCTGTAGGATGGCAATATGCAGGTTTGCGGTTGCCGTGGCTCTTATTGTTGTTTGTTTTTATTGACGCTGCCTAACTTACAAGCTTTCTTCCCCTCCCCTCCCCATCATCAACATCAGCAGCAGCAGCATCTCATCATCTCTCCCCATTCACCATTGCTAGATATTTTGGTCGTTTTTCGGTTTCATCAATTTTTGATCACATCCATCACATCACATCACATTGGCCTCTGCAGTTTATCACACTCAGACAAGGCCCCGCTGTTGGCCGTCGCTTTGATACTATTATCCCTGCTCCTCGTGAAATTGCGCTCAGGTCCCTGGCTGATATTCTCTGGAATTTGAACTACGACTCGTCTGGTGGCGCTCCAATCTCTAATCATTGTCTCTCGAGAGCCTCTCACAGCCTGGCCCTGGCTTTCTAGCCTCGCTGTTAGCCTAGGGGTCTCCCTCGGCTCCATCGAGAACTCCGTCCCAAGAGGCTCATTGTTCAGAGGCCTTCCATATCCATATCCGCATCCATGACTACTATCATGGGTCATCAACCCCAAGTCCACCGTGCCACTAACGAGACCCTGGCCTCTCCAAGGCCCGAGGCCAACCAGGATGTTAATTTCATCGAGCCCAATTCTGATACACGTCCTTCTTCGATCCCCTCTCCCTCTCCGTCATCTCGAGGGATTCTTCAAGAGCTTTTAGCCGATCAAGTTCATAACAAGAGTCTTGCTTGGAACTCATCTCGAAGGGAGAACAACCAAAGCCAGCAATTGTACTTGAAGACCGGTCCTATCAAGCTGCCCGCAAAGACGATCCCATCTCGAGGGCCACGGCGCTCACTCATTGATTCTGACAGCTTCGAACTCCTCGATGCGGTTCCTGAAGAATCAATTGAATCCAGCGACTTTGATACTGCACCCAGTGGGCCTTCAGCTTTGACTTCATACAAGCTACACTCTCAAGGTTCGTTTCTTCCATCTTCCATCATGACTCTGATTCACAGCTTGCAAATTCCCTTCACTATTTGTACAATCTGCTAACCTAGCCTACAAAGGAACCACTGTCAATTCACACCCGTTGTTGGATGCAGAGCCTCAAATTGGACACAACTTAGAGACTCATCTAGCAGGTCAGTTTGAATGGCTCGTGGCGTTTCCAGTGCCAGCGAGTACCACCAAGGACCACGGCTCTTTCGACGACAGTGAGAACGATCACCACGAAGTCGAGATCGCGGTTCATGGCTGCACTTTGCTGTCACGACGTCCGGGCCCCGCCGGCAATTCTAAAGCTGACGTCTTCAACCTTCTAGCCACACCATTGATTGCTGAGGAGTATATGGCTTTAGGATTTGATCCTTCTCAAGCCAAGATGGCACTCCCTCCCCCTCCAGCATATGAGCTTCACCAGAATGTCCCACTTAAGGTTCCCGAGGTCATCGAGACGGTAGAGCCTGTTTCGCCTTCTCTTACTTTGATTAGTGAGAGAGGCAGTAGTTACGCAGGTTCCTCTAGGACCGGATCCTTCTCGGTGCCCCGAATCGAGGACTCTTTCGAGGAACTTGATAAACTCGAGGATGAGCTCGAGGCTATCAAGGCTTTCACCCAGCCACAACGCATTCCTGTGCCTGAGAATCCTGTGCCCAGCAATAAACATCTCGAACCACCCTCCACGAGTAAGAAGCCGACCGTTTCAAAGAGGGCATCAGTTATCGGCATGTCCTCCACAGTTCGCATCAAACAGACCGAGCGACCACAGCTTCCTCTTCGACGATCAACCTCTCTGGTATTTAGAGACAAGAAGCAGGACGACGCCGACAACACCCCGGATTTGAAACCACAGACTGCACGCGGAAAGCTGACCAACTCTCACTCTGCACCATTGAAAGCGCCTGTCAAGTCTACGAAGCCTCCTACTGTCCCCAAATTTGAGCTTCCTGGTGAGGCTGTCTCTCGACGCCTGAAGGAACAGCGCGAGGCTCGTCGAGCCCAACAGGCTGAGGCTCAGAAAGCTTATGCGCCTCCTCCGAGACCAAAGTCTAGTAAACCACTTACGAAGCCGAACTTCGAGCTTCCAGGGGAGGCGATCTCTCGCCGTAAGCGTGAAGAGCGTGAGGCCAAGCTCAAGGCACAAGAAGAAGAGGAACAAAAGAAGCGGGAGTTCAAGGCGAGGCCTGTGCGTCATAGTTTAATGCCTGGTAGCATTCCGCGAGAAACGATTACCAGTCTTGCTCGACAAGGCAAGCTCCCGCAAGACGATGTAACTAAGACATCAGCCTCAACTAAAGCAAAGCGGATGTCAATGCAGGGCCCAAGACCACCCACCCTGTCAGAGGCTCCGGTTACCCAGAGTCGAGGTCGCCTTTCCACTGCTACATCACGAGAAGATCTTAGCCGGGCTACCTCAACTTCTACAGGAAGCGGCGGTGGAAAGCGAACTACACTCACTGCAGAAGAGGCTTACCAACTGAGGCTTCGTGGGAAGGAGATTTTTCAGCGAGATAACACAAGCTTCACACAAGACAGGGAGCGTGAGAGACGCGAACGTGAAGAAGCAACACGCCTTGCTCGCGAGCAGGCTGCGGAGCGCTCTAGAATTGCGAGCCGGGTATGGGCAGAGAAGAAACGACGCAAGGAGTTGGCCATCCTGGAGTCCCTGAAGGGACACTGATTACTTCGAAGACAGGCAAATGCTTGGTCTCACATTTTGCAAAAGCCTTTTCTCGTGGAGTAGAGGCATTTCATTCTCCCTAATTTACTTGCCTTAAGCCTGGAGTTTGGAAGGCTTGGAGTTATAGCACTGGTCATGTGCATTTTTGTTATTGCGATATTGTTGCTTTGAAGGTTTCTATCTTTAGGCGTTTGTCCGTTGGTTTCGAAGGACATTGGTGTACCAGAGAACATTCACGCAGCCAGAGATTGTACCGCTGTACGCTGCTGCAAAACTTGGTTTCAGAGACTGTCATCAGATCATAAAATCACAGAATTGTTTTGCCTGTCTTTTTGTATCCTCATCCAGAGAGTGACATATAGACTGGTTAATATTGGCTTAATAGACGTTAACTAGCACCCGTACCAGAACTGAGAGGCTGGCCACTTGAGGTATCTCAGATCTGTCAACCAGCATTGAGCAACTGGGAAGCTCACTTTCATCTCTAGAACAGCCTTGCGTTTTTTCTCCAATGCCTCAATACAGCCCCAGGTTACTTCTCTGCGACGCCGACTCAAACACGTACGGTTCTATGGTTATACACTAGGTTTCAAACAAAAAGTCAAGGTACTCCGTATGGAGATGTAGATGGTGAGGCTCAGAACTGGCATCACTTGCATCACGCCCGTGAACGACAAGTCGTACAAGTACTGTTACATAACATTTCATCAATTCGCTTGCTATATACCTCTATAAATCCACGTTTCAACATTGTTCAACCGGTGACTTCTAGAAGACCACACCAAACCCCCCTTACACAACTCATCTGACACACCATTTCCCCCCACTATTCAACTTGGACATAAACTTTTTTACACTTCCTCTTGAACCCAAATATTACCAGGCGAATAATAATTGCCCTTTGAATCATCCCAGACAGAGGGCAAGATAACTCCATCGTTCCTCATATGTACAGATTCCACCTCATGATGTAAACGTATTCCAAAGGGGGTGCCACCCTGTCGTTGGTGCCCTTGTAAGCGAGATAGGAAGAAAGAAAAGAACCATAAATGCTCCGTTTTGAAGATGTGGTAGCCAAAAAGGAAAAAGGATCTCCTGATGGGGCTTAAGGGATCCGGAAAAAGTGAGTGATTAAGTCGCAACCTACTCAACGCAGGTGGCTGATGAAATAAAGGAGATGCTGGAAGTGTGAAACGCCATTCGAGTGCATATTCCACCTCCTAGCGAGAGTTATCGAAAGGCGTGGGTATCTTTCTAGAGACATAGGAAAAGTCGTGGTGACCGAATTCGGTAGCACGCAGGATCAAGTGAGAGTTTAGAAGTTTTGCGAAATACCCGCGCTCTGCTGTGGATAGTGAGACGGGTTCTCAATGCGTGTGTTTCGTCGTGCCGGATTATCGCGAATGACTGCTTGTTGTGGCCCGTTGTCGCTATAGGGGTTCTGTGAGTATTGGTCGTAGTACCCGTTACCAGCGCCATATGGTACTCCCATGGGGTCCGAAGCATCGGATCGGCCAGCAGCACTGTAAGAGGAGGAAGCGTTGGAGGGTCCACGATGCACATCTGCCCCTCGGTTGTTGGCAGCAGAAGGACCCATTGCTCCGAGAATCTCGCCCTCTGGCGAGTGGGAACCATCCATAAGAGGCTCGCCAGAGCGACCGTCCGACATGTTGCCTCGAGTAGGCGAAGTAATATCTGAGTAGGCTCCAGTGACACCGCCAGACAGAGTAGTAGAAGCCTTGCGACCAGTTGAGCCAAGAGTGGTGTTGCCCCAGCCACGGTAACCGGAAGAGCCATCTTCCCTCATCTCATAGCCACCATCTGCCATGCCAACTGCTGGGATCGTGGGGTCGGCGTTGGGGTTGTAGGCATAATCCTCAACTTCCTTTCGTCGCTCCTCTTCGGCTTGTCGTCGAGTTTTGCGCTTCTTCCACCAGAATAAACCTAGGAGCGCGAGAATGGCAATCGCAGCAATTGGCACAGCAACGCCGATAGCAACTTTGCTCTTCTGGCTCAGACCACCTCCTTCATTTCCGCTGCCACTGCCAATGGCATCAGCATCGTCGGTACTGGTGGCGGAAGCGGAGGCCTCGGTAGCGGTAACTCTCTGTGTACGAATCGCGGTAACTAAAACGATGCTCGTTTCAGGTCCCTGGCTACCCGTTACGGTGACAATAGTCGACAAAACCTCGGATGTAGTAATTTCAGTGGCAGACGCCTCGCTTTCTTCCGTAGTGCTCTGTCGATCATTGCTGTCATCTGTTGAGGATGGGTCTGCCGCCTCTGTGGTTGGTCTTGCTTGAGTAGACCTGCTAGAGCTCGTCGGTGAGGGCGCGGGGTTGTCGGAAGAAGGCGATGCATTATCAGATGTTGGCGCAGGTGCAGCTGTTTCAGAGGCACTGGCGTTATCGGATGCTTGGCTCGCATCATTAGTCGCCGGTTGTGTTTCGTCGGCGGATGGGCTCGGCTGCGTGGCCGAAGGACTGTTATTTGAAGCTGGGTTCGAAGTTGCGGCTTGCGCTGGTGACGAGTTCTCTGCAGCAGACGAAGCTGGATTGGCGTTGCTGTTGTTGTCGACAGAGGACGGGTTAGGGGCCGACGCCCCCGTGGGCTGAGTGCCCTGACCCGGCGTGGACATGGCTAAGTCTAGCGTGCTCACGACGGGGAGTTGTCTGTGATCGAGAATCATGTTAACGACCAGGAAAGACTCGCATTGAGAATTGAGGGTATTCAGAGAATGGTCAAGAATAGTGAGAGCATGTATCAAGGGAGATGGTGCAGCAACGAATCAAGTCAATCAACACAAGGGGGTCGTTGATGGATTAGACGCGAAAAGGTCGGAATGATGGGAGACAATATTGGCGACAAGTTTCATCGAAACCGGGATCTCAAATTGACCTGTATGGGGATCGTCGAGGGAGAATTGGATTGAAGGATTGATAATGAATAGCGAGTGAGCAGGGACAATTGCATCGGATTGGATCCAATGCAATGTATCGTGACACGGCGTGCGTACCTTTGGAACTGTTGACCGACCGTCGATCCGTTTGAGAATTAAGGAGTAACGAGGTTATTCGCTAACAAGGACGCGTCGAGAGTGATTAAGCGATATTTCGAAATTGACCTGGTGATGTATGAGAAGAAGTGAAAATAGAGGAGAAGCGAAGAATAAGATGAAAGACGAGAATGAGAGTGAGCGAGCGAGAATGAGGTTGGCTAACTAGAACTGGGCTGAGCTGGGCTGGGTTGGGTGAGTGATTGGATTTGGAAGGTCGGGGGGGTGCGACTGAGACGGAGACAGACGACACGGACAGCAAAGAGCCCAACTGAAGCGTACTAGCGGCCGCTGGAGGTCAGTTCGGGGTGGAGGCTTTTACTGGGTCGACCACTGACCGGGACCTGAACCTGGGGCCATGAACCTAAACTTCCAGGGCTGCAATGGGCCTGAGCAAAAGATCCAGTTCTTCTTCGCCTTCTTCCAAGGCTCTTGTTGAACCGTGAACGTGCTTGGGATTGGGTTTTGGCGTAACGTAACAAGAGCAACGTACGTACCTAGCAGAGTTTGTGCCTGCTATACACAAGCTTAATTGAGTTGCAACTGAACTTCCACTTTTTATCAACCGTTGGTTTAGCCTAAAAAAATTATATTTCTCACTGTTGAGAACGGCGACTAAAAATAAAGGGAAAACGGGTGCTGGTTTGCTTTCGGGAGGCGTATACGCTATCCAGGTCCACTCGCTTTGGGACAAGAAGAGTCAAGATCAACAAACAACAACACAAAACGTATTGTACGTGTGTAATATGAAAGAGAGAAAGAGCAGAGACAGAAAGAGAAAGAGATCACAAGTTGAAGAGTGTGCCACACGATAGGTCTTTGAATCAGCATCGGGCCTTTAGACACAGCCATTTTCTTGCTCAAAAGTCAAATGGCAGACAATTATATTCCTCAGCCACATTCACCCGCAGCTAATTAGTAGATATCGCCATTTCTCTCGATCTTGCCTAGGGGAGGAAAGAAAACTCAAGTCCTTGATCATAGATGACAAAAAGACTTGGGTAACTTAGCCTAAGTTTAGGGGACTCTTTGCTAATTTTATTTTAGCACCCTCTTCTAAAGTCTTATGTTTTCTTGCTCCCCAAGGCATTGGATGTCTTTTAGCCGGGGTCTCTTGGCGTGGAGACCCCCAAGACGATACGAGCCACCCCAGCGAGGCAGTGACTCTTTGGTTTGTGTTGGCTTCGGGACGATCAATGGAGCGACAAGACCTGAAAACGTCAGAGGTCAAGATTATTTACAAGTATTTAGAGTTACTTGTAACTACTGTGTTGTATTGTAATACTTGTATACACAATTATTTGTTTGTTGACATTTAATTTCTTTATATAACTAATTAAGTTTCCGTCTCCCTTGCATCCGCTCGAGGGGCTTTAATTTCCCCTGGACTCAAACCACGAGACGTCGACCACCACCAACGGCTGTAGACTCATAATACAAGAACAATTATGAACCTGTCTGTGAAAAGGGTCTCGAGGACCCCTCAAAATTGATTGTCGTTTCACCACATGGCTCACAACGTCATGATGATGAAGCCAAGTAATTAAACCCTTCAACTCCAGTCCCACTGACAGATTCCAAGAGGCATCTCAATAGCCATTATTAAATACCTCGCAGGCATTAGTCTTCTCTTTTGAGGAGATTCGAGGGGTTAATCGTGAGTAATAAGTGAGATCACATGTTGTTGGCTGGCATTCAAGTATTTCTATAGCGTGCCGCGAACCCTTTAATCTCAACGTGCAGCAATGGAATGTCTTTCTCATGCACGTCTGCGCACATCGGGGCACGATCTAGACTCTTGCTTTCCCATCTGATCTGATCAAATCTCCTCGGCTGAAGGTCTCAAAAGTGATATCTTGCGTCCTCACGTGCCTCAAGTCTTAATGGACGGATTATGCGTTCTGCTCTGGTTGTAATCTCGGAGCCATGTCCTGAAAAGTCGATC